ATTTTAGTCTTTGGTCTAGTTAAGCGTTTGTTTTTGTTTTACTGGCTTTCTATGGGTCTGAAGTTTTTTGCTTATCTCGATGACGCATTTGATAGTCATCAAGAGGACTTCCGCCGCCCGGTAGCTTTTATTGAGCGCAAGGGGCTTATTCTTCCGGTTTCCTTATTGGTAAGGAGAAATCCCAACGGGTCCCAATTCTAGTGAGCGAGTGGCTCGGGTTTGCGGTCTGCACCATTTGTTTTACGTTTTAGATTCCCGAGAAGCAAGTTTTCAGCTAGTGAAGCGGCTTTGGCCGAATTCTGTAATTCAAAATGAGTCATCTTTCTATCGCAAATCAGCTGGGATGGCTGGTTCCATTATTTCAGTTGCCTTAGAGGTGGAACCCATTCCCCTCTTCGTACAAGCCTGACGAAGGTAGCTATGGAGTCTTCATCGGCTTAGGATCACCTTTTTCGCTTCACTCCCACTGGTTGAGTGGCTGGTGGAGTTGAAGTTTTCGTTTTTGTGACATTGACTCTTTGAACGGTAACTCCATTCGGCACCTCCCACAATTTTTTCCACAGTTGTTATTCCCGTCGCAAGCGACGCTTTATTTCGCGCCTTTTCCGCCCTGTGGCTAGCGTTATGTTCACGATCGATTATTTGGGTCAAAGTTCTATTTTTTGCGAATTTGATAGCTATCTAATATTATGTTTTGCTTTCTTTTGTAGAGAGGTTAAAGCACAAGAGGGTGAGAATTTTCTCTGACAACCAGAGTGCTGCCAGAGTACTTTCCTTTGGTGTCTTTAAGGTCCATACAGTCGGTGGCTCTAAGCGTTTTTCATGTTTGTTTTCGCATGGTATTGCCTTGGAAGCGCAGTGGATTCCTAGATCGCTCAACGGGATGGCTGATCTTTTGCGCCGTTTCATTGACGAGAATGATTCGCCAGTTAATCCCTGTGTGTTTCGAGTCGTTGAAGCCAAATGGGGTCCTCGCACGAATCTTAACCGTTTCACATCCTATTATAGTGCGTTCAGCTTCCGCGTTTTGACCCGTAGTTTGCTTCTCCTCGTTGTAGGTGTGTCCGATGCCTTTGTCCGAGACTGGAGTGGAAAGGATAACTGGATTTTCTTTCCAGTGTGCCTGGTAGTGGTCGCCTGATTTGAGCCTGATTTGGCCTTGTATGCCCGGTTTGGCACATTTGTGCGGCATGTGAGCCTGATTTGGCTTGTTTTTTTAGCCTGATTTGGCATAATCTTGAGCCTAATTTGGCATATTTGTGAGCCTGATTTGGCATATTTGTGAGCCTGATTTGGCATATCTGCGAGCCTGATTAGGCATATCTGCGAGCCTGATTTGGCATATTTGTGAGCCTGACTTGGCATATCTGTGAGCCTGATTTGGCATATCTGCGAGCCTGATTTGGCATATCTGTGAACCTGCTTTGGCTTGATTTGTGAGTCTGATTTGGCATATCAGTGAGCCTTTTTTAGCTTATTTTGGGCCTGATTTGGCATGTTTCAAGTCATTTTGGTGTCAGCATCGTTTTGGGCTCTGTAATATTATTTTTTCAATTCTTCTTTGCGCGAAAATTTTGCTTAGCGCCTCCCTTGTTCAATGTTTTTTGTTCAGTTAAGCAAATAACGCTGTAGTTGTTTTATTTTTATGCTATTTCCTTTTATTTCAGTTGCCCTAAATTCCAGGTTATGGCTTGAAACAGCCCCCTTGACTGATTCTTCGCTGAGGGATACAGTTCTAGGCCTGACTGGTTTGCAGTTGGATGCTAACGTTCCATCCACAGTCTTTCACACTATAGCTGTGAAACCTCGCTAATGAGGTTAACAGAAGATTGGAAGCGTAGTCTGGATAATAAACAAATTGTTGCAGTGATATCAACGGATTTATCTAAGGCTTTCGACACGATACCGCATGGACTCTTGCTGGCCAAGCTGAAGGCCTATGGTGTTAACAGTAGAAGTTTGATGCTTATTAAAGATTACTTACACGGTAGGATGCAGCGGGTGAAAGTAGGTGATACAAGTTCTGATTGGCAAGAAGTCAGGCGAGGAGTACCTCAAGGCAGTGTTCTTGGTCCAATGTTTTTTAATATTTTCATAAATGATTTATTCCTACAAATCAAAACTGTACAATTAAATATGTATGCAGATGATGGTCAACTCTACACCGCCGATACGGATCCGGTATCTTTGGAAAGGCGTATCCCGCGTGAGGTAAGCTCAGCAAATGCCTGGTACGAGGTCAATGGAATGATAGCAAATCCCAGCAAACACCAAGGGATGATACTAGGAAAAACTGACCATCAGTTTAATTTCTCGATAAATGACTCAGTGGAACTTTTCGGCGTTACAATTGATAAAGATCTTACGTTTAAGCAACATGAGTCCTCTATATGTAAAAAGGTAAACAATCAGTTTAGCGTTAGAACAAGGTTTGGCAAACTGATGTCTACTGAAACCATGCTCCGTCTTTATAAGGCATTTATACTTCCTCACTTTTATTATTGTTCTATGGTGTGGCATTTCTCTAGTAAACAAGATTCTGATAAACTGGACCTTTTAAACAAACGTATTCTTCGATTTATTTTCAAGGATTTCAACTCTGACTACAATAATTTACTTAAAAAGGCAGGAACTGCAAACCTTAAGGACAAGCGTTTACAAAACATGATTCTTACTATTTTCAAATGTCTTCATTTTTCTGATTATCCAAGATATTTAAAGGATACGTTTCGTTTACGCTCTAGCACCTATTTTTTAAGAGGACATAATATGCTCTGTTTGCCCAAACCATTGA